CTACTACTCTTGTTTTACAAAAGTTTTCTATCTTAGATTTGTTTCTGTTTTTCAATTTAGTATAAAAATCGATTTATAATTCACGAGGATATCGTGTAAACATACATACAAAAATAATTGTGTACACACTTACGAAGTGAAACTTCTTTGTAACATATCGTTCTTCTTTTATTTTATATAAGTAGTTTAAATAATAGTATAACTCGTGTAGCCCCGGCACTGAAACGTTACAAGAAACCGTTTGACGTTTTTTTTAAAAAAATACCGTACGTAATTTTTCCTTGAAAAGATAGCTCAGCGGCTAAGCGCTCGCTGTATATTTCACAGTACGCGGGTAACCCGGGTTCGATCCCCGTCGACATCAATTAAATTGTTAATTGCAATATTAAGTGCTGATTTACCACGTGTTCAACGGTGAAGGAAAACATCCTGATATCCTTGAAATAAGCAAAAAAATTATTTCGAAGACATGAGAATGTGAACTCCAACACGCATTGGGGCAGCGCGGCGGACATTTCCTTGCCCTAAAACCTCTCAAAAATGAGGGTAGGCCTGTGCCAAGCAGGGGGACATGTATAGGCAATACCTTTAAATTTATCCACTATGGTTTCCCTTCAAAAAGAACATACAGTCGAATTGCGTAACACATCCTTTTATTGAATTCTGCTAAAAAGAAGAAGGCATAAAGTTTATTTACGCGAACACTACACATTTAAATAAAACTAGTTTTACGGATTCTATAGCGTATATTAACTTATGTTATTTAAAAGAAGAAGACTTAATTATAAGTATCATATATGAAAACTATGGTTAAATAGAAGATAAATAATAATTTGTATCATGGATTAACTACTATCTTTAAAATCAGGACTAGCTACTGTGTAGTAGAAGTACGCTGACCGCTTAGCAACACGCTCGTTGTCTATAGAATTCTTTGTTCATCACTATCGGCCAACTAGTTGCTTAGCAGTCAGCTACCGGCCTCAGTAACTACGTGCTGATAACGCCCGGGCGCCGACAGTTCGTTACTAAAATTTCGTGTTCTTGTTGCAGGTCCAGGGTTCAGTAGACGATAAACACGACGATAAGTAAGTATGATGCTTTAATAGCTTTTTTTTTGGTATCTGTCGTCAAGTGATTCGCGTGACACCTTTAAGTTTTGCAACGTTTTTGTTGGACATTCGCCTATAATTTATATCTCGCATTTAAAGTGTGATGGATTTTCATTTTAAGTGATTGTTCATTGATAATAAGTTATTAATTTTCTAAAAGTGTGTAATGTGTTTGTTTATTTAATCTTTATCGTTTACGTCATTAACCATAGGTTGTAATAACTTTCGATGAATACAATTAAATTCGCTTATTAAATTAATTCCCCCCTCTTCCTTCCACCATTGGAAAAACATACGCTTGGCCTGTCTCCACCCTTTCGTTGTCGACTTACCACGCATTCGAAGCAAACAGTTTGCTACATCGTTCGTCATGCGTACAGCGAAGGAGTGAAATAAGTTGCCAGCATCTGTTTTTCCATCCAATTACAATGTGGCAAATCAAGGCAAGAGTGAATTGGCTTTTGTTAAGTCAATACGCTTCACCATCTTAGGCGACATCACCACTTAACATCAGGTGGGATTGTACGAGTAGTTAAACGCTGGCTTAGAATAGTAAAAAAATAATAAATCGAATAGGTCTAAAGATACCTACTCTCTGCGTAGTGTTGGTAAAGAACTCGGTCATTGAAGATTCAAGCCGCTTTGCGCTGGATATAGTCCAGTGGAAAGAGCTGGCACGCTGGTGCCCCGGCCCAGAGAAACCATGTGAAGTCGAACTTGCGCTTTGTAAAGTTGCAAGCGATGTGCAACAGTCGGTTTATAGGTACAATTTCGTTTTAGAACGCTTTCTTTACCTTAGTTAGTTTGAAATTTGCTGTTAGCTTGAATATGCGGAAAAAAATAAGAACCAATGAAGTTTTTTTCAATAATGTTGGCCTTATTAAGTAGGTACTATAATTTTGACCAAATGTACAAAATCTATATCTATCTATACATATAATAAAACTGTAAATAGCAGATGTCTGTACATTTTATGTTTTTGTAATAAAAGTGATTGAGGGGTACTAAAAATAAGTAATTAAATACATTTCTACCATTTTTAGAATTTTCTGTCTGTCTGTCTGTCTGTCTGTCTGTTTGTTTGTTAACGTATCACGTATAAAGTACTAATTTATATCATAAGAATTGTTAAGGAAATTATAAAGTGTATCTTCGGGTTACATTTAGTCTTTATTTCATTAAAATCAGTTCATTCCATCAAAAGTTATGATAAATATTCTGAAGTATGGGTAGGGAAGTATAGGTACGAATTTGCTCAACGGTGGCTTTGTTTGAGTCATCAAGTGAGTGAGTTAAACTAATATCATATCATAAATCATAGTTAAATTATGTAAAATAATGATATAATTATGTATATCTAAAACGCAGTAAACAAAAGTATTAAAGAACGTATTAAATATATTATACAAAAATATATTAACCTTATTAACTAAATCTGAAGCACAATAGTTAACCCATTTCTTCGATAGATGGTGGTGTTGTGAAATGTAATGCAATTGCAATGTGGTTTTTTCCTGTAGATGAGTTTTTATATTTACTGCTAATCTTTATTATATTACTCGCTGCCCTACTGCGTGTTGACAAACGCAATTTATTCTTTACCGCCGAGTACTCTATGTGGTAAATCAAATTTTAAAAGAGCTATTAACAATTGCGTTGGTTTTGGCGAGATATAAACTTTTTTTGCTTACTGTGCAGGCACTGATTTATAAATTCTCTTACGTTTTATATAATGTATCAATCGCGTCACTTAATCTCTTTTATTTTTAGAATTGATGTTAGCAGCGCCATCTCTCTTTAAATATATACATATAATAAAAATGATGATAACATGTTGTGTCTCTTTCTGTACATTGTATATATATTTTGGTAGCTAAAATCATTATGGGGAACTGAAAATAATTAAATAAGAACATTTTATAATTTTTAGAATTGTCTGTCTGTCTATTTGTCTGTTATTATATGAACGCATCACGTCTAAAGTAAACATCTTTTATTTTCAAAGAAATCGTTAAGAAAATCATAAAGCGTATCTTCGAGTTGCATTTAATCTTTGTTTTATTAAAATTGGTTAATTCTATCGAAAGTAATGATTATTATTTTGAAATGTGGGTTCGGATTTGTTCAATGGCGCCATAAAATCTCAGAAATAGTAATAAAAAGATTTGTGTGTAAAAAAAACGTTCCATAATAATTAATATATTTATACTTAAAACACAAAAAGAGATTTAAAAAGGATGTTTTCTCACAAAAAGGACGTAATGGATGGAGTTGTACAAATTACAAACTTTTCTGAATTGCTGTGTTGAGATTTTACGCCGATGACTCGTATTGAGACTTACTGAAGAAATTTGTATCCATCGAAGCCATACAACGGAACCCGACCAAAAATAAAAATTTTGCAACGAAATGTCGTGATATTGTATTTATAATATACGCAAAACCAGTACTGTTATTTTAGCGCTTTGGGAACTAGATTTAGCGCTTTTTTGGAATGTATAGCGCGCATTTCGAAATTTTAGCACCTAGCGCTTAATCCAGCGCTTTTTGGTGTATTTAGCACACATTTCAAAATTGTAGCGACTAGCGGTCTATCTAACTCTTTTATAGCAGCTCTGTTAGTCCACATTACAGATAATAATAATAATAACCTTTATTATTTTTCCCACAAATAGTACATTGCAGTTTATCTTTTTCAAAGATATTTTTTCCACAAAACAAAGAGCGTGGGAGACGAGTCCAAACTAGGATACCCTGTGCTATGGATCTCCTGGCTTCCCCTTTAGGATGATCAACTTGATTTTTTTACCGACGACTATAAGCGGGGAAATCTCCTTTATTAAAGTTTTCGTTCATGGTTTTGGCAACGCATTTATTTTGCTTTATTCAGTTTCAGTCAGTTGCTTAGAGCACAGCTAAGTTAAAAGTTCCTTAGAAGTTATAACACAAAGAAACTGTGTAGCAACCGCAATCAGATGCTGACATCTGAAACTAAGTTGCGAAATACATTGCACTTTAAAACAATTAATGACATTTTTATTGTTCGTACAATACTAACTACTGTTGACAGCAATTGCCATAAATATAAGTCGATATCCTGCGAAGTATTGATACATCAAAAAATATTGCCAGAAAAAAAAACTTCATGTTGTTTTCTTTATTATGATTATATAAAAAAACACAAACTTTGTTTGTAGTTAATTTAGCGCGAAATCTAGGGCTTTTTTTAAAGCGCTGTTTTCATGAAATCTAGCGCTTTTTGTGTTGTCCTAGAGCTGAATGAGTTTTTTTTTTATCTGGCAGCACTGCCCAAAAACCGTCTATTAAGAAGTAACTTTCCTTTCAGTTTTAAGCGCGTTCAGTTCCCAGTTACAGTGAGCGTGTGTTATGCGATGACCGTAAATAAAGCGCAAGGTCAAACTTTACGCGTTGTAGGAGTGTACCTCAGTACTGACTGTTTTGCACATGGCCAACTCTATGTTGCTTTTTCCCGCGTTAGTAGCCCCCGTAACCTTTTTGTGTACACCCCGGCTAAGCCTACTTCTAACGTCGTTTACACAGAAGCTCTATCATAAACGACTTAGAACTTTGATGATAATGATTTATTTAGTTACCACTTATTGATACAGTAATGAAATAAATCGTTTTATATTCTCTTACCTAAACGACAAATTCTTTATGTAAAACCTGTATACGCGAGCTACGCCGCGGGCACAGCTAGTTGTTAATAAACAAGTTTACATGTTTTAGTAAAGAAAAATTGTACAAAAAGGGTTATTATAATATCAAATAATACATAATTGAAAATAACCCCTGGGAATGAGGTGATCGCCACCATGCTGGTTCTATTACCAGAAACAATTGACCACCGATGTTCTTATCTTTTTTTTATAGGATAAGGTGACAAACGAGCACACAGTAACAGGTTTCTGTGGCCCATAGACATCTACATATATCCTCGTTTGTGAATCAAAATGCAGATGCGTTGTCACCTGTGAGGACTAAGATTGAATGCCTCATTTCCAGGAAAAAGGGTCTCGGTTCTCTACACTTACCATACGAAACACAGCAATGTTAAGCTGCTATTTTACGCTGGTATTCTGTGAGAGCGTGGTCCTTCTCCGGTCGAGCTAAACCAATCGTGCAACAACTATACAAGTAATATACCTGCAGCATGGCTCTACCACGTATAAACTATCTATGGATGAAAGCAATAATATATTCCTCTTTTTGTTCGACGATTTGTAATAAAATTGTTCATTCGTACCTCGCAAACAACATAATTCTAATTATAAAAACTTGTATATATAAAAACTGAAACAAAAAATAATATATTTTATTTTTTATACATACGAAAACATAAGTTCATTTATAGTCGCAGTGAGCTAAGTGTCTATTACGCATATGGTGCACGTTCAAAAAAATTTGCTTAATGCGTTCTATTTTTAAAATCTGTAGTTTTTGAACCATTTATCGCTAGCAAGTACCAAATGGCGTCAGAACTGTATTCGGGGTTTCGGGGTGATTTTTTTTTGTTTGCGGTATCGCAATACCGATAGCATCGCTACGTTGGTGATAAATCACGACGGTTGAGATACGAAGCGGTTCCCAGAACGGCCCATTGTTGTCACTGGTGGGATATGGCAGGCACGCCTAGGGGCTCTGCGGCTTGGGGTAACGGATTTTGTTAATTTAGAAATTGGCGCAGATATGAACGTCATTTCTTTGGGTTTTTTATTCAAATATGTTTTTAAGATATTTCCACGATGTTTGCATATTGGCTTTTGCTGGTAATGTTTTGAAGGTCAGTCTGAGGAATGCAATAACATAAGGTCGGGGAGAAAGTATTTTTTTTTTCAAAGTTTAGTTACGTTTAATTATAATATATGTGTGTCATTTTGTTCGATAACTTGTTGCCATCTTGTAGGTAGTGACATAATCCCGTTGCTGTAGAAATCTTGGGATTTTTGGTCCAAAAAATGCGAAAGTAGTTTTGACAGTCCTCTCTTGATGTTAATCTAACACTACCCACAGAATTATGAAGAGACCGAAACAGGTGAAAATCTGAGGGAGGTAAGGTCAAGTAAAGTTTATAAATTATCTGAGTTAGTAACGCGAGAGCCAGCCACGTGTACAGACCGTGTGATAATCCCGTAATACCATGTAAAAATCGTTCCTGTCTTAAAACTTCATCATTCATCATTACAGCCCTCCACAATTCCACTGCTGAACATAGGCCTCCCCCAAGGAATGCCACAAAGCACGGTCCTGAGCCATAGAAAACATAATTGAGATTCATCGAGTAGTTTTTCCGTGGTGCGCGCACAACTGCAAACCGCTAAAATTTTATTTATATAGATCAAGATATTCAATGAGATTTATGGGGGATCATAGGATAATCATACAGTCATAGAGATGATGAGCATAGGTTCAGAAGCAGGCCTGTTTTCAGACCTTTTACAATTTTTCAAAGTTAAGGCTATTTTAAGCTTTATATTTCGAAAACAAAATGGCTCAAAGTACAATATGTGGCCTCGTAATTAATAAAAGAGTTATATTTAATGATACTCATACTCCACCCAATCTTTTGTTTATTTTTAGGGAAATGCATAAAAAAATATTTTTGTCATGTTGAAATTGAATCCTGTGCGGAATTAATTAATCTGTACTTTTATCAGATCAGTTAAAAATTGTAAAAGTATTATTTAACTGAAACATTTTGAACGAATTGAAAAAAATTATCAGCATTTCTTATGTCATAGTGGAACCCTGAAAAGTAAGAAGGTGAAAATCTCCGGTCCCAACTTTTTATATATACGAATGCGATAAATCACACGGGCTGCTCCCGATGATGAGTGGATTGTGGTCGACTTTTGTTACACTATACAAATCGCAGAGCGTTTTATTATATATATCCCTTAATTATAGCAGATTATACTCATAACCCTACTTAATCTTTACTAGCTACTAGCTCTGATCTTCGCCAGGTGGCAGAATTCCTATTATGTCGGAGTTCATCTGGGTAGTTTTTTTTTATAGAATAAGGGTGACAAACGAGCACACAGCCCACCTGAAGGTAAGTGGTTGCTGTGGCCCATGGACATTAATGCTACAACTATACTATTAATATAGCTGCAGCGTGGCTCTACTATGTAAACCACTTTCTTACCTATTTTTCCGCCAAGCAGAACTTTGTCGACCTTGAGTGGTGACGAGTAACGACCTAGTGTGACCGACAAGTGGGAGACCGCCTAACACTTATTTTACCGGTACGAGAGTTCCACCCAGGTACCTTGTTGTAGCGCTATCATAAATGTGAAAAGGCCACCAACTTTTTTTGGTCTAATAGGTGTTGAATTATGCAAAATCAAAAACTAACGAAAGTAGT